CTATGGAGGAAAGGACCCTGCCTCTGCAGCCTGAGGACTTTGATTTAAATCCTCTTATACTGACTATCTGCGTCACCTTGGGCAAGTTACTTTACCTCTCTGGTTGTCAGGTTCCTTATCAATATAAAGAGGGGAGTGGACTAGATCAGAGATTCTTTATTTGAGGTCTGTGAATTTGTTTTTAAAAATATTTCAATAACTCTATTTCAATATATTTGGTTTCCTTTGTAACCCCATGTATTTTATTCATTTTAAAATATTATTCTGAGAAGGGGTCCAGGAAGGACCCCTCAAAAAAAGTCAAGAGCCCCTGAACTAAATGGTTTCTTGGGTCTTTTTCAGCTCTAGACTTATTATGAGCTTAGCAGTTCCATCTGTTATATGACTAACCTGAAACACAAAACACGTCTGCCTGCTCAATGCTGCTCTCAGATACGTGACTGAATAAACTCAATAAAGAGTCAAGGCAGGGATGCCGAAGTATGGGATTGTGCCCGTGACATACGGTCAGCTCTGGGAGTGATTTCAGTGGGGAGAATTCAGCAGCCTTGACCCTACCCTGCTCTAGGACTGGCAGCAAAGGTGAGTATAACCAGACTTCAGAGGACAGAAAGGCTGCTCTTCCAGCAGGTCAGCTTCAAGACAGGTACCCAGCTGCACAAACGGTATGTGCTGATGCCCTTGTCTCAGCTGATTCCCTGGAAACCAATTTTTCCAGATCTGAGATTAATTCAGCATTATGCACCATTACTCTCAGATTACTCAAGCAAAACTAGCCCCAATAAAAACCATAATTAAATCCACACATTGTCTCAAGCACATCAGACCAAGTAAACCGGTTCAATTTGCATATAGATTACCTTGCTATTTGCCCCCTTTGAAGGGTTTCTCATCACCAACTAAGTCTGGGCTTTGATGTCAAGCAGTTCTGACACTGTGTAGCATGGATACACCTAGCCTCCTGTCTAAGACATGCTGGCTGTGTGATGTGTCAAAGACAGAGGGAAACGCTTCAAAAAGATCAACTGAGCCTTTCTATTCAGGGCAAGCCAATCATTGCATCTCTACACTTGCGCAGCTCCTTAGGGCAACGGAGACCATTAGGACTTATGACCCTTTGCAATGAGCCTTAGAGAATGCAGCTGGGGCTTCGTGGCTATTGTCCATGTGTGGTTAAGGAGTGTGCTGCCATGCTCATCCCTTATATGCTAATGACCGATGGGTACAGGAGACTGACACAGCCAGAAGAGCACCAGACTCTTTCCCCTTATTTACCACCATTCCTTCATTGTTATGACCTTGAGACTGCCTGCTCTCACTTTCTCTCACTAGCTTATTATGATTGCTTCTGTTCACAAGAGCACAGGTTATAGATTTAGAGCTGGAAGGAACCTTAGAGGTCATTCAGTGCCATCAATTCATTTTACGGAATAGGAAAAAGAGGCCAGGAAAAATAGGGGAAGTGATTCGCTCATGTCCACACTGGTAGTAATTACCTAGTTAGAAGGTACAGTGCATAGTCAGGAAGAGTTCAAATCTGGCCTCAGACACTAGCTGTGTGACCCTGAGGAAGTCACTTAATCTCTGTCTCAGTTTTCTCATCTGTAAAATGGGGGCTAATAATAATAGCACTTACTCTCAGTGTTGCTGTTAGGAACAAATGAGATAACACATAGAAGGTACTTTGCACATCTTAAAGAGCTATATAAGTGCTAGTTATTAATTATTATTATTAGTAGTAATAGTCAATAAACATTTATTGAGTACCTACTATGAGCCAGGTACTATACTAAGTATTGGGGATATAAAGAAAGGCAAAAGACAGTCCCTGCTCCCTAGGAGGTCACTGTATAATGGGAGAGACAACACGAAAAAAAAAACCAAAAACAATGTACTAAGAACATATACACAGGACGAATTGGAGTTAATCAGCAGAGGAAAGGCATTAGTATTAAGGGGGTTCAAGAAAGATTTCTTTTTTTTTTTTGCTATTTCTTTTTTATTTCAATATTTATTTTTACTTTTCAACATTCACTTCCACAAGATTTTGAGCTCCAAATTTTCTCCCAATTTCGTCCCTCCCCTCACCTCAAGATAGCATACATTCTGAATACCCCTTCCCCTAATCAAGAAAGATTTCTTGTAAAAGGTAGGACTTTAGCTAGGATTTAAAGGAAGCCTGGAATAGGGATGGGTTTGGAGGGAAAGACCATGAGTTCAGACCATGAGACGTCCTGTTTGAACTGTCCAATGGGCTGTTAAAGATGTGAGGCTGGAGGTCAAGAGACAGGGTGGGATAAGTAGATTTGAGAATCATCAGCATAGAGGTGAATCCACTGACTCCACAGGAGCTGATGAGGTAACCAAGTGAAACAGTAAAGAGGGAAAAGAGAAGAGGACCCTGGACAGATCCCTGGGGGATACCCACCAGTGATGGGTATGCTATAGATGAAGATTCAGCAAAAGAGACTAAGAAGGAGTGGTCAGATGGGTCAGAGGAGAACCAGGATGGAGCACTGTTGTTGTTGTTCAGTCATTTCAGTTGTGTTTGACTCTCTGTGACCCCATTTGGGGTTTTCTTAGCAAAGATACTAGAGTGGTTTGCCATTTCCTTCTCTAGCTCACATTACAGATGAGGAAACTGAGGCAAACAGGATTAAGTGACTTGCCCAGGATCACAGAGCTAGTAAGTGTCTAAAGCTGAACTGGCACTCAGGTCTTCCTCACTCAGGCCTAGAACTCTATCCACTGTGCCAACTTAGTTGTGGAAAACTAAAGAGAAAAGAGCATTGAGGAGATGAGGTTGATTGACAGTATCAGAAGCTGCAGAAAGGTTAAGAAGGTTGAGGACTGGGAAAAGGCCATTAGATGCAACAATTATGAAATCACTGATAACTTCGAAGAGAACAGTTTTATTCAGTTGTCTGATAAGGTCATGAGTTAGACCTGAGGAATTTACGCTACAAAAAAGGAAGGAGAGATATGGGATAATAGCTAGCAAAGATGGATAGATCATGTGAGGGTTTTTTGAGGATGAGGGAGAAATGGGTATGTAGGAAAGCAGCAAGTAGACAGAGGCTGAAGATAAGTGAGAGAGTAGGGATGACAGAGGAAAATCTAGTGGAGGAGAGGGGATGGAATGGGAACTCAGAACAGTTCTTTCACTAACTGATCTATTGAGCTGAGTTCAAGCAGGCTTTAGTACTCATGTTTTATGATCTGAACTATGGTCTATCCAAATTTATGTATAAAAAAGGTACATTATTGAAGTAACAGTTCTACTGTGGGCCTTTCTAAAACAGCAGAACAACTAAAATGGAGGAAAAAATAGTAAGCTCATTCATCATGCCCTCTGACAATGCATTATGTCATCTTTGGCCAAGAATATGTGGTAATAAATGTAGTAGAACATTATTTGTGTAGACTTCTTTTATGTGTTATGCATTAATCCATTTAATGTATACTAAGTGCCTACTCAGTGCACAGCACTATGCTAGGTCATGGAGAGGATACAAAGTTTTATTAAGACACCGCCATCTTGGAATTTACATTCTGGCAGGAAGCGCGATACACAGCAGAGCGCAGGATTTGAGCTGTTTTCCCAGCCCCGGTGACAGACTCTGCTGAACCCCCCACACCCCCACTCTCCCCTGGGAGACCAAAGGTATGCATGTCTCCAGTGGCTGCCTAGGGCTGCTACAGCTGTAGCCTATAGGTCATAACAACAGTTTTTGCTTTAGCATTAGCTGGCTTATATGAAAAGGCAACCTGTGACCTTCATTTCATTAACACCAGGCTCCAATCAACTTCAAAAAGCTTAACGGCTTGACATTTGTGTATCCGATTACTAGTCTGATCCCCAGAAGTAGAACATACTGTTAGAGGCCGAGCATTTTACTGGGTATCATTAGATGCTCATGAAATACTTTCTGATGTGTCTCAAGTGTCTGGGGATGGGGGAAGGGTCAGCGTAGGCATGAAGGGATGGTGCTGCAAGAACAACTAGGCAATACAGAAATCAGATCGCTCAAACCCATTTATAGGAATCAGATGCTAAATTTGCTAGATGAAAGATCTTTCTGTTTAGCCTTCCAAGGCATGGTCCCAATGTAGGAATTTTTCTTCTTAATTCAGTCCATGTAAATTCGCCAGTGAGAACAGATTCTGGTTTTCTAAAAATTTCCTCCACTTTGAACACAAGAAAGTCAGTACATAAAGAACTGATTTCTTGGGCTTTATCTTTACCACATTATCCACAAAATGCATGTCCAAGTTCAAATTTCAGAACCTTTGTCATATATTGTATGAGAACCTAGAGCTGAGAGTCATATTGAAGTTCTAGGCTGAGATATCCTTTTGGGTTATAGAGACTGTACTTAATATTCTAGATTGCAAACAGCCACACAAGACTTGGAGAGCCATAGCTGACTGACCCTGGCTCATTCCTACTGAGGCAGTCAAAGCAAGGACTGACCCCCCAAGAAGGAAGGACATTTCCTTTCAGTACATATGTTCCAAAGATCTTTCCATTCTGATGAAGGGATGGATTTTGTGGCCAGCATATTGTTTTTTTCCTAAATAAATCTTCCCCTAAAAACACAGTCATAAAGGAGGAAGCAGTAAGTATATGGCAGGCACTTGCTAAGAGCTGGAGAGCAGAGTCAGGAAACCTTAGGTTAAAGTCTTGCCTCTGACACAAACTGGCTGTACGACAATGGGCAGACCACTAAACCTCTCCATACTCCATGAAACACCAATAAATTGCAGATGATTCTGCATCATTGGAGAGGGTTCATTACATGGATGAAAGCATAGGTCTGGGCTAAAGGAATAGCAAAATACATTTATGCATACATAAATATACACAGAGTGGAACACAAGTTGTTACTTTTAAAGTGGTGGTCAAGCATGTCGTTTAACGTTTACTTCTTAGAAGGGATGCCCAGAGTCAAAATCCTCTTAAACATCATGTGAAAAAAAAAGGATATCCTTGCACATACCTTTAGTACAAAGCAGTGGTCAGTTGGAGCTTTATATTTCATTCTGTACTGTGTTCCGTAGTAAATATTTACATTTTCAAACTGAATGAAGCAAGCCAAATCCCGTGATGTCTACAAGTGAAGGGAAATAATACAATGTTACAGAAAATTTAACTAAAATTCCAGGGCAATAAAAAACCCTCCCATTTCCAAGGCTCTTAGGAGAATTTTTGATATCCATTTCTAACAACTAGTATGTCATATTTAAGCAAAGAAAAAAAGCATCTCGAATTTTGTTTGTTTTATCTGATGTTCTGTTATGCAAGGCATTCTGAAAATCGAAGCTTTTTTTTTTTTTAAAGAGGAAAGAGAAAAATAAAGTGCATTGGAACCAGAATTCTCTTGCTCTTTCAATACCTTGTACCACTGACTGACTTTGAGAGCCCCAGCTAACTGACCTTGGCTTATGCCTACTGATGTAATCAAGACAAGGTGACCACCGAGGAAAGGACATTTCCCTTCAGTGCGCACGTTACAAAGATCTTTCCATTCTGACAAAGGGATGGATTCTGAGGCTAGAAATAGCATCTTGTTTCTTTTCCCCCTAAGGAAAGCTTCCACTAAGAAATAGACAATAAAGGGCACTAAATGTACTTCTCAGTAAATTAGCAGAAATTCAGGCGCTTCCAAAGCAAATATTTTTTTTTCTTGTCCCTTTTTCTTCTTCTTCTAATAGTGTAGGTTCTCTCTTGCTATTTATTGTGCTTGATACATTGCCATGGAAACAAAATGTCTGCCTCACCGAACAATCTTCTTTGTGAAGAGTGAGTGCGGTGTAGAATATGCATATTCCATCACACCTTAATTACGAATTGGATCTATTTCTCCGTTCTGGTTTTCTTTGATGCTAAATATAGCTTACAAACACAATACTAGTTAGAATTAACACAAGTGATTTTGCTGTTTGGTTCCCCCCCCCCTTTTTCTGTCATATGTCTTTTTTTTATGGAAACATTTTTTCCCAATTTTTCATACCAGCTAATAGTTTTTTCTAAAATATCTTATTTCAAATGCAGTAATTCAACACAAATGGAGCCTTAAAATATCAGCTTTCAATTAGTTATCTGCAGAGATGGACAGAAGGGTTGATAATCCAAAAGAAGCTTGTATTTGATCTTGGCATGCGATTACAAGGTCCCATTTTTAACAAATAACATTATACTTGCCAGTCCTATATAAAGGGGCTCCTTCTAAATGTCAGTCAGTCAATAGGCATTTATTAAGTGACTACTATGTGCCAGGCACTGTGCTAAGAGCTGTGGTCATCTATGCTAACACTGCCGTGCTAATGTGGATAAAGGAATGAATGATTAAAAAAGCATTTCCTAAGCTCTTATTATGTGCCAAGTATTGTGCTAAATCAAATAAAACCTTCTGAAATTATAGACACAGACATTGCTTGTTCATTAAGCACTGAACATGATTATTTGTTCATTAAGCAATATTTTTAAATGAAGATGTTATTCTTGGAAAGTATTCCCTTACATCTGAACACCTATAGCAACGTTATGCATTTGTAACAAAATTTAGAGTGTTTTCAAGTGACAGGCAATCTGGCAGAATGGATAGAGAGCTGGCTTTGTAGCTGTCAAGTCCCAAGTTCTTCTGCCTCTGTGACTCTCCTGTACATTCACTTAATCTCATAATGCCCTTGGGCACCTCTCTAAGGTTTGAAGTTGCAGATGACTTGTATAGGCACAAGGAATTTCCTCTTCTGGGGGGCTCCTACAGTAGTGAAACCACAAGTCCAGGTCCCTATATTCTGAATGACAGATTTCCTTTTTTCCTTTATTAGATAAATAACTAAAGGCAGGTAGGTATATATATTTGCCATTCCATTACCATATCATTGATAGTGGGTAGAGTGCGGGGCCCACAGTTAGCTAAACCCTTGGTAAACGTTTCACTTCACAATTCTTGGAATCAAAATCTTTTTTTTTTCCCAATCAACCAATCAATAAGCATTTTTTAGATTTTTTTAAAAATTTATTTTGATTCATCAACAGTAACTGCCATAAGCTTTTGAGTTTAAAATTTTTCTCCCCCTCCCTCTCCAAGATGGCATGCAATCTGATATAGGCTATACATATATTTGGAATCAAAATCTTAAGATTCCCCTCAGCATACCAGCCCCATTTTAGCTAGATGCAAAGTGTTATTTCTTTACCTAAATCCAAACCACACACACCCTTCTAGGTAAAGTAGATAGTTTAAGCTTGATAGAGAAGCATGCAAAGAACCTAAGATTTTCATCCCTTAGGGAATTCCAAATGTAAGAATCACCAAGAACGCTCCTTACACCAACCCATCCATGACTTGGTAGATGACTTTGTCACATGGCTCGTGAGTGTCAGAGATGGGATTCCCATCTACATCATCCTGACTCCAAGCCCAGCTTCTCTCCACTGTAGACCATGCTCTCCCCAAAAACTGTCCATGGAAGTTTTACCTTAATGCAATTTCAATGCTAAAACAAAGCACTATGTTTGAGTTATCCAAAAGCCTCATTTACCTCACATGAGAGTTGGGTGATGATGGAAGCAGGTCAAATGATGGGTAAGGGATAGTGTGGAAAAGACTGTTACAGTGATAGGGACGTTCAACCAGAAAATAGCTAAGGATTCTTCCAATGCTTCAGCTCGTATGATATGAAAACAAACATAGAGCATCTATTCAAAATTTTTGCAAACTCCGGGTCAACTAAAACTGTTAAACACCTTGACAAGCATAAGACTAATTTAAGGTACCTCATTCATACTCGGCAAGAGAGTTTGTTTGGGGAATGACCTAGAATGACTCTCCTGTGTAAGCCAATGCAATATTAGATCGAGACAGTTAGGCTGGAGTTTCCTCTGAGATGAAAACGAATCTACCTTGAGACTCTGAGGATTCACATGATTGTCATTAGCACCTTTTGTCCAGCCAGGCAGCAGAGGTAGTGGGCTGAGAAGGCAGAAGACTCAACTAGGAAGCCAAGTCACTTAACCTCTCTGTCATAGTTTCCTTACTAGTGAAAGAGGAATAATAATATCTGCTTTATAGGGTAGTGAGGAAAGAACTATATAAAGTGCTATAGAAATGTGAGCAATTATTATTGTGATTACTCCTGGGTTTGCATGAGAGGAAGAGAAGATTGATGCTGGAACCTAAAGGAAAGAAAATTCATGAGGATTAGGCCCTCTCTGGAAATATAAAGTGAGACAGAGCAGTGGGACAGAAATGACTCAGAAGGAGAAAAAATAATAAGGCAGTAAAATAGGTCTTAGATCAGGTCTTGGTTCTATTATTTGGAAGAAAACCAGAGGGAAAATATTACTACTCTTTTAATTTTGTATCTAGTTTGTTATTTTTGCCTCATTTTCTGCAGTGACTGGCTGTAAAAAGCCTGCAGAAAAATTCATTAAATAACTATGTGTTTACTTAGGGCAAGGACAGAAAAAGGATATGGACTGGAGTCTTTGGAGCTCCCAGAGGCCAGAGACTGCCTCAGTTTGACCTTTATATTCCTGAGTGCTTAGCACAGGGCCTGGCACATGCTAAGTGCTTAATAAATTCTTGTTGATTGATTGATACAGAGAGGAGAAACCCCAGATGAAGACCACTCAGGGGCAGAGGAAAGTACAGGCAAGTGAACAGCTGAGGTCCCTGAAAAGGGAGAAGACAAAAGGATGAACAGTGAATTGGACTATAACTAAGACACAGAATGACTTGCTCATAGATACATTTAATGAATATTTGTGATCGGGAACCTACGTGAGTGGGGACCCTATTCCTGCCCCCTGGTGATCTGCTGAGGGTGAAGGGTGTGTGTGAAGTGACCAGAATGTTCCCTGCCCTTTTTCTGGCCCAGTGAAGAAAGGAGCTCTTGACATCATCATCATTATCATCATGCTAGCTAACATTCACATAGCACCTGCTATGTGCCAGGCACTTTGCTGTCAAGCACTTTACACTTATTATCTCATGTGCTCCTCACAATAACCCTGGAAGGTAGGTACTATGATTATCTCCATTTTACTGATGAGGAAATTGAGGCAGAGGTGAAGTGACTTGCCCAGGGTCACATGGCTAGTACGTATCTGAGGCCAGATTTGAACTCAGATCTTCCTGACATTCCAGGATCAGTACTGCATCCACTGCACCATCTAGCTGCCTCAGTTGTAATTATTAACTATTATTATGTAAGGGATTAAGCCTTCAGGCAGACTTTTATCTAGAGCTGTTATTCCCTATTGATTCCAGATAACAGAAGTAGTTAGAAGGGAAGAGATTAAAAGTAAAAAAAAAGAGGGGTAAAAATAATCAAATTATCTTCAGGAAAAATGCCTCCTGCATTTCTTTTAAAATATGGATTTAAAACCGAACATAATGCTTTTATTTGCAAGGCCAAACTACTACAAGACAGACAAAAAGTAGTTTCATCAGCTCCATCTGAACACAGTATTTGTACAAGGGTTGTAGTGATATCAGACTTTTCAGGTATAACAGACATTTGCCCTTAAAATGTCACCTGAAGATTTCTTTTCTTTCACCTTCATGAAATGCTTTATTGCTAAAGTGTTTCCTTTTGGCTTCCTGACCTTAGTCTTTCCTTTGGGGACATAATAAATTCCTGAAGCCCGTAAAAGAAAATAGCGTCTTTTCCAGGATTTCTTTCCATCTTCTTTTAAATAAAGAGCTCCTTCAATTTCTGGCACAATGACAGATGTCCCACAAAAACTTTCCTGCAATTGAGAATCCAGTTACACAAAATATATAAAACATAAACAGACATTTGTGCTCACATTTAAAAAACTCTAACAAATTGTTCTTTAAATCAAGTTACTTCTATCTGACATGCTTAATGGACATGTTTGCATCCCTTGGCATCTGCTATTTAAGAAGAAAATGTGCCGCTAGCTAATGGAGAAACTAACAGAGACCAAGTGAAAAGCAGAAATTAGAAATTTACTCAGCTTTTTTTTTTTAATTAAAGTCTATGATGAGAAAGGCAGGTGGACTTTTTTTTTTTTGTGTGTGTGGCATCATTGCATTACCATATGATGGTCTGTTAAGCATATTAACAATTCTCATCTTTCCAGGTGTGTCTCCCCAAACTTCAAAACTGGTTATAAAATTACTTAATTCCATCTGAGTTACCCTAAAATGAAAGCACAATGGAGGTAAAGCCTCTCCTGTCTTTTTCTTTCAGTAGTAACACAGGCTTGGGAAGGACCTTTGAGGCCATCAAGTTCAACCTTCCCTTCATTTCACATATGAGGAAAGTGATGCCAGGTTAAGTGACTTTCCCAAGGTCACCACAAGTAGTGATCACCAGATTTGGGATCCGAACCCAGGTCCTAACTCCAGGTCTACAGCCTGTTGATCTCCATCATAAGACAAAGAAAGGATGGCAAAGAATGCCAATGTCCCTGCCCTTTCTCAACACTTCCCAGGTAAGCTTACCTCTAGTAAAAATTCCTTATTCTTCGCATTCATTTTCTCATTTGTTTCCTTGCCTTCTTTTTTTCCTTTATTAGCCAAGTAGAAATTCTGGACAAAATGCAAAAAAAAAAAAGGTCAAATTAGCAAGTATCCCTTGAACTCAGCTAGAGACTGTAGGGGATCAGACCAAAGTGAAGTATTCAGTCCCTAACCTCAGCAGCATACAATGTTTCCAGGAAAATCAGATTTAGATCTATGAAAAAACCAGAAAAACAATTAGGCAATATCAGTCACCCAGAGACTAGATGGACGAGATCAGTCAGTTGCTGGGGATGTTACCAAAGGGATTCATACATCATGCAAGACTGAGCTAGACAGATAGCTTCCATCTAGTTTTTCAATATTGAGAGTTGATATTTCTGAGTTACTGAGTGACTTTTTTGTGTTAGGTCCTATGAGGAATACAGAAGAAGACAGCAGTACTCCAACTCCATCTCCAACAGCTGAATTGAATTTAATTGAGTTTGGTCAAACAAGCTTTTGTTAAATGCCTACTACGTGCCAGGCACTTTAAGAGGGGCTGGAAGTGCAATGCTGAAAACTAAACACAAGCTTACTTTTGACAGCAGAGTACAACAAACCTATCCACAAAGTCATTTGGGGAGGAGGGGGAGGACCCTTAGAGGGGATGGCACTAGCAGCTAGCAGGACCAGGAAAGGCTTCCTGGAGTATGTGGTACTAGGGCTAAGTCTCAGAGAAAGGCAGGGATTGAAGTTAGAGGCTAGGAGGAAGGGTATTCTAGGCATGAGGAGTGGCTGGGGAAAAGTATTGCGACTGCAAAGGAAATGCCAGAAGGACAACGTATTTGATTGTAAGGTGTGTGGAGGAAAGTAGAATTTAAGAATGTTAGAAAAGGGCCCAGAACAAAGGTGGGGAACCTGTGGCCTCAAGGCCTCATATGGCCCTCAAGTGCGGCCCTTTGACTGAATCCAAACTTCACAGAACAAATCCCCTTAACAGAAGGATTTGTTCTGTAAACTTGGACTCAATCAAAAGGCTGCACCCAAGGACCTAGAAGGTCACATGTGGCCTCGAGGTTGCAGGTTCCCTACCCCAGTCCCAGAGCATTGAGGAAAGACAGAATAAACAAGATGTGGCAAAAAATTTGATGTGAGGGATGGGGACAAGAGAAGGGATGAGGACGACTTGTGCTGTGTAACTTCAGAGACTGGAAGGATCTGGAGGAAGAAATACAGAAATTAGGAAGAAGGAAGAGTTTGGGTAGAAAAATAATGAGTTTGGTTTTAGACATACTGAGTCTGAGAGGCTTCCAGGTCATTTAGTTCAAAACAAAAGACAGTTTGTAATGTGGGCCTGGATCAGGAGAGAAACCGCCTTTGTGTTATGTGTGAATGAGGTCCATGCTAGCCTTTATCAGTCTAATGTTAATATGTGCATAAAATGGCTAAAAATAAACAGAATATGTATAGTGAGTAGATGAATTAAGTGCAAATTTTTCCTTGCTTGCCAAAATAAGTAAAATCAGATATAAAGAGCTGTCAAAGGATTATCCTTTAAATCTTGATTTTGCCATTATCATAACAGCTGACTTGAAGATTTCATGTCTAGAGTCTTGGCATTTTTATAAGGGACCTATCACTTTAAGAACATAATGTGTCGATTAAAGGACCTCTTTAGTCTGCTGTACAATTGTTTATTGACCTAAGTCTATAGAGGAGACTGGAGAACAAAATGGAGGTAACAAAATATAAACTATAAGAAACCTTGGCAAATTTTGTGTAAGGAGAGGAGGTAAAAACGTATTTGGTGAAATAAAACAGAGGTGTATGTCTGATTCTTCCTTTGTTCATTCTCCACCTTTTCATTGCATGTGGAAGAATTTTCCTTGTTCTTACAGGCATTTGCAATTAAAAAAAAAACTTTCCCTTGCCACTTGAATACTCCAGAATCCATTTTTCCCCTAAAGTATCAAAATGCTAAACTATTCTAATACAACAGAAAAAGAATTACTACAAAAACAAAACCCTACCAATTTGTCTGAATAGATATTTCTTTTGCCATGTTGTTTTTCCAATATGGGCTTAAAATTCTGAAAAAATTGTTTTTGAAAAAAAGTCAAATTGTTATTACATGAACAGAATCAAGTGCTACTGAGTGAACAAAGCACATACAGAAATGCAAAGCTCTCTGAAAATTGTGAAATTTGTTAAACTAAACTGTGAATGGAGTCAGAAGGGTTCTGATGAAAGGACAAATTTTTCTGTTGCTCTTCTGCACATGTGGTTAAAGTGCCTTACGCATATAAAAATCTTCTAAAGGACCAAGCATCTCTGTGTTTTAATCTTGGCTCCTCTGTCCCACCTTCTCCCCACAGTTTAACTTTCAGTGTCTGTATCTTCTAAGTCACAGTTTTTTCTCAGGCTGTCACCTAGGGATATCAATTGTGATGAGGAAGTGGAAGCCAACCCTGGCGATCCCCAAGAGAGCCACCCAAAGACAACTGAACTTCTACTCCCTGAGAAACAAAACATCCTTTATTGAGCTCAATCTAGTCAGTATCCTTTGGAGCAAGGAGGTGAACTAGGTGCTTCTGCGTCTGACAGAGATGGATGCTATGGACAAATCGGGAAATATGGGTCACAAGAAGTCCCTAAGTGGGAAGTGATGCCATCTTGTTCACTCTCTACACAGCATTTCCACAACAGCCGCTGGGAATGCAAGGTCTCTAGGGAATAAAAAGGAAAGAAGATGGAGCATAATGGAAAGAACACTGAATTTAGAATCAGAGGATCTGGTTCGAATTCTGGTTATTATGTGGGCAAGACACTTAAGTTAGTTACTAAGCTACTTGGGCAAGACACTTAAGTTAGTTACTAAACCACTTGGGCAAGGCACTTAAGTTAGTTACTAAGCTACTGGGGCAAGGC